GCCAGCCTCATAATCTCACAGAGCTTACAGTACAGAGCATTTAAAATGTGATTTAGAGACCAAAGTTGGATAACTCTCCACTTTCCAGAATTATATTAACTATACATTTAAGGTATTGATTTAAGGTATTGATTCCCCAAGCTACATTCAGTGAAAGCCCTTATGATGCAGTCTTATCAACCCTCATGTGTTGTTACTACTATATCCTTGTTATAGGCCTCCAGTCTTAGAATCTGTATGGTAAACAATCTTAGAGACAGAGCCAGCTAGCGTCAGTGACCTCTAGTCCAGCAGTACTCTTACTACCTACTGAAATTCAGGCATGGGGATGGGGCCCTTTTCTCCTCTTTATTCAGGTATAATAAATATCCAAACAGCAGAAGGTATAAGCACACTGATCTTAAATACACAGTGTGATGGGTATAGCTATACATATGTCATACATCGATTAATGACAGGGACACTTCCTGAGAAATGTGTCATTAGGCAATTTTGTCATTGTGCAAACATCATAGAATGTATTTACACAAACCTAGATTATATAATCTACTGCTCACCTAGACTATATGGTATAGCCTTTTGCTCCTAGGCTATATACCTGTGTAGGATATTACTGTACTGAATACAGTAGGCAGTTGTAACACAATGGTAAGTGTTTGTGTATCTAAACATAGAAAAGGTACAGTAAAAATATGGCCTTATAATCTTATAGAACCATTGTCACATATGCAATCTGTTGTTGACGGAAACATCATTATGGGGCACATGACTATATACATAGATATTCCTTGACTTACGGTGTGATTATGTCTGATAAATCCATTCTAAGTTGAAAATATCCTAAGTCAAAATGCTTTTAGTATACCTAATCTGTCAAACATCATAGCTTAGCCTATCCTACATTAAACATGCTCAGAACACTTACATTAGCCTACAACTGGGCAAAATCATCTAACACAAAGCCTATTTCATAATAAAGTGTTGAATAGCTCATGTAATTTATTGAATGCAGTACACTGTAAATTATCGGTTGTTCACCCATGGGATCACATGGCTGACTGGGAGCTGCAGCTCACTGCTGCAGCTCAGCATCACGAGAGAATATTGTACAGCATATCACTAAACCCAGGAAAAGATCAAAATTTGAAGTACAGTTTCTACTGAATGTGTATTGCTTTTACTCCATCATAAAGTTGAAAAATTGTAAGAACTGTTGTTAGTCAGGGACCATTTCTACCTCTGTAACCACCATAGATTGATGTATTTCCATCTCCCCAGAGAAAGCTTTTATGTGTACATGATGTATGAGCAGAATTTGGCTCTTCAAGTCTTGTCTAGCAGTAATGTATAATAATAATGAGGAGTCTGAGAGGGGTTCTGAATCTTCATGTGGGAGCCTTGGCTGGAGGAATTGTCCAGGAATTCTGCTAACTTTGCCAGGAGTGGCTCAGACATTCACATATTCTGCAAATCAGCCTTGACCTAAGCCCTCCAACAAACTCTACTTGTGCTTACAAACATCACATCCCACACCCCACACCCGCCATTCATTTGACATTTATGGAATGTGCAGGTCCTTACTTGGTGGAGCATACAAAGATAAAGAAGCCGCAGTCCCTGCCCTTCTGGAGGAGAGCCAGTGTCACTGCAGCCCAAAGACCCCCTGCTATGGCTTGACTGGCCCAAATTTCATGTGTTGGAATCTCCAATGCAACAGTGTTGAGAGATGGGGCCTTGGGAGGTATTTAGTTCCTGAGAGTTCTGCCCTCAGAATGGATCAATACCATTATAAAAAAGGGCTCATGGCAGTGGATCCACTGTATTCTGCTCTTTTGCTATGTAAGGACATACCATGTCTCCTCTCCAGAGGACCAGCATTCAGAACACCATCTTGGAAGCAGAGAGACCAGGCCCTAATCTGCAGGTGCCTTGATCTTAGACTTCTCCAGCACCAGAACTGTGAGAAATAAATTTCTGTTCTTCATCAATTACCCAATCTGTGGTATTCTGTTACAGCAGCACAAAACAGACCAAGATACCCACCCCCCCAGGGCTCACCTCTGACTTTTCTAGATGTGGTTGCCAGCAGCTGCTATATCGTTTTATACTCTCCTTTTCTTCTCAGAAAATCTAGCTCCACCCTCTCCCTCCTTGTTATGGGCATCAGTCATTTTTACCTGAAGTCAGGTTGGGCCAGGGCCATCTTCACTCTGACCGTCTTGTCCCATTCTGGCTTCCTCAGCCATGGCCTTCAGAGCTGCCATTCTCTTGTATGTCCAGGAAGTAGGCCCAGTGAGGCGGGGTTAGAAGGACATGGGCTATTTAGCCTGGAGAGAACACCATTAAGAAGTAAGTTGATTCTTGACCTTGGGGCTAT